GTCGTGAATTCTGATGGGTTTTGTTTCGGTAAAATTAAAATGAAAGAAATAAAACAATTGTTAAACTTCTCATTTATAACTTTTTTGTTTAGTGTAGCTCCTGGCAACCAGTGAACACACGCTGCCGATATTAAAAAACTTCTCCCAGCCATCATCCCTCAAAATGAGTCATTGCTATGGTTTCAGAACAGAAGTGAATGCTATTAAGAAAAATATTGTCAAGTTGACTCAGTTTTCATGCAAATTCATCTTTTCAGCGAGAAATGTTTTTTCATAAGCGACAATATTTTTTCGTTTCTTTCTTTCTTTTTTTATCATAGAAAAAATATTTATGGCAACATTTGCTCTAAGAGAGCTTACGCTGTTTACATTTGAATATTTTAAAGATACAAATGCTCGTCAAGATCGAACACACAGACATAAAAAAGCGAAAGAATAAAAAGAAAAAACAAATAAAAACACACATGCACGGTAAGTAACACAAGCGATTTGATAGCTAAATAAACGACTGGACAAGCTGAAACAACCTAACGTTAATTAGAAAATCAGCAGTAGAAATACCCTTTAAAAGCCTATTGATTATTTTCTTATCTTAGAGGCACCATGCCATCTATTTCCAGCGGAGGTAAACAACTTTTCACGCAGAGCAGCAAAACATGGGCAGTATAGGAAATAATGTTTCACGTGTTAAATAGATGCATTACAAAGAGCACAGGCAGGAGGAAGGAAGGACATCAATTTGATCATTTAAGTGATAATTTAAGGAACTAAAATCAAGTCTCTAACGAGTGTGAAAAGTTGAGGCTAAACGATACCCGATGTAAAAAAGATAGCTGCAGGATGGAAAATTCAGGAATTTTAAAAGGTTGCGCTTGAAGACACCAGGAATGGAAGACTGTTCCACTCTTGAATTGATGATTTTTTGTGCCTTTCAGTACGAACAAAGGGTAAGCAGAGATTATTGGCAGAACGGAGACTATAACTAGGTCCCAGTTCAGAAACGAAATTAGGACATACATCGCATAAATAAGGCGGGGCTACATTAAATACCGTTTTGTAACATTAAGTTCGACCCAAGAAAGATCATTCAATAGTGATACCGTGTTTGTACCTTTTAAAGCCCCGGTTACAACCCTTGCGCCCTCTATTTGTAAGCTGTCTAACAAATTACTATCGGATTCAGAAAATCCACCCCAAACCACATCAGCGTATTTTAGGGATGAACGCATCAAGGATTTGAATAAAACTTCAAGTTTACAACGGCTTAAATTGTATTTCAATGGCTTTAGCAGGTTTAATTTTTTGGAAGCTTTTTGATGAATTTTTAATATACGCCCTCGTCAAGATAATTTAGAAGACAAGGTCAAACCAAGATGTTCATGAACTGTCACATCCTCAGTAATAGTATTGTTCAAAATCAAAGAGGGGCACAATAGGCTTATCTGTTTTTGCCGAAAAAACAATTGATTTAGTCTGAGTCTCATTGATAGTCACCAACCACCGTTTAGCCGAATCAGATATTGATGTCAAGTCATGATTAAGCTTAGAAGCGCAATCACAAGGAGACTGAACTTTTTCCTGCAAAAATCAATCATCGGCAAATAAAAAACAGCGAGAAGAGATTGTGGCTGGTGGGTCATTAATGTAAATGAGAAACAATGGACCTGAGACCGATCCCTGGGGGACACCAGCCTCTATATTACGCCAATCAGAGTGCACTTCTTTGATTATCACTCTTTGTTTACGACAAGAAAGGTAACTTATAAACCAATTTAACAAATTCCCCTCAACTCCAATGCTTCGTAACCTGGCTATCAGGCCGCGATGCCACACTCTATCAAAAGCTTTGGATATATCAAGGAAAACTGCCCTCATCTCACTGCCTTCCTCAAAGGCCTCATAACTTTCATGAACAACATATACAAGTTGCATTACATTGGAATCCCCTGGACGAACACCACTTATAAAAGAAACCTATAAACTTATAAAAGAAAACAATCATACTAATTGAAAACCAAAAAGATGAAAAAAAGGCTACTTTCTCACAGATCTTAGATAAACATGGCAAAAGCGAAACAGGGCGATTATGTAGTCTTCAGTTGACGGCCATCTTTTTTCGATAGATTGTACATTTGCAGTATAATGTAAATTTCAGGCAAAGAAGTTGATTTTCTTGACTGACTGCGCAACATCTTTCGATGAACGTCCCGCCTGAAAACTCTTCAACCATATCCCCCAACATTGCATCGATGTTGCCCTTGCATAAAGAAACTCTGAAAAATCTAAATCCAAAACGATGAAAAAAAGCAAACTAAGGGGAATTAAACTGATCAATGGGCAAACATAATATTAGCCTTTTAAGTTTTAAGCTTGAACAACATCAATTTACTCCTAACGATATCAATACATTTTAAAGAAAAAAGGTTATGGTCGTTTATAAAATGGTCCCCAAAGAGAAAATGATATGATCTTTTAACAAGTCCTGTCAACTCATCCCATAATGAAATGTATGGAAATCTGTTTCGAGAATTTCTCGCAGGCCACCAAAAGTACATACAATAATTAATGTACTTGTCATTTCCAACTTCTGGGCACAACTTGATTGCAAAAAGACGTAATCTTTCGTCATTATGACGTCAATCATAAAGTTGAATTTATTGGCAGAATCCATATTTCTCTTAAAGAAGACATAAAGCGAAAATACTTAAATAATAAGGTCTCTGATAAAATCAGGGAAGTTGATTAACACATAAATGGTCTTTAAAAATAGCAATGATGTCATGATGACCTCATTTGTTGCTAAAAAAGGAACTGGGAGCATCCACCATCTTGTATTCACCATTTTGAATTATTTAGAAATGTATTCCATCTTACGTAAAATTTGTATAAATCGAGGTATTTTTTAACAGAAAATGTAATCTGAGCATAAAGGATGCTTGGGAAGCAAAATCAGCAAAATATGAAATTCCAAGAGAAATGAACACTGTTGAAAATTTAACTCAGAATCTACCATTTGCACTCACTGAAAAGCCTGGATCTCACAACCAGTTACACTGAAAAACTATGATAAAATAATGCTAAATTAAATGTAATATAATAAACAGCTCTGTTGCAATAAACGATCGATGATTGCTCCTGAAGCCTGAACTCCCGTGATTATTAATAATAATTCAATCAGTATTTTAAAAATAGAAATAAAAACTTATTTTTTAGAGAAAATGCAAACTTGAAAAGATCGTTGTAATAGTAACATCAGTATTGACGTACACATCAACACGACTTTAAAATGTTCCCAGATAAATTTTAAGCGTCTCGAAAGGGGGTCAATTTAACTGAAAACTTTTACACTTGCAATTTACAAGTGTAGCTATTGTTCTCAGACTCTTTAACAATAGCTACACTTGTAAGTTACACGTGTAAAAGTTTTATTAAATTGACCCCTGGATACCTTCTTCATATTACCTGTCAAGTAGTCTCTAAGAAAACTTTCTTATACTGCTTTCCAGAAGTCAAACCCTAAAAACCTACGCACGGCATTTGAAAGAAGAATGTCAACGTATCTGCAATTTATGCCTAAAACGAAGAAAATTGAAAAAGAATAAAGCCTGGACGGAGTCCATTCTCGAAAAAGATCTTCTGAAAAATCACTCTGCCTTGAGAAACCTCCCCATGGCAAATGAGAGATGGACCTTTTCTAAAAAAAAAAAATTGGTTTTGACAACTAAAGTACCGGCAGTGTCCTTTTCACGTTGAAAACTGTTGTGTTTGAAAATGACGCGTCAATGAATAATCGAGCTACTGTAATATTAAAGGGACAGGTCCATGGTTCAGCGCATGCTCGTTAATTAAATAACGTTTTTCCAATTTATTCATTAATTCTATCGGTTAATAATCCCACTCACATGTATCTCAGCGATCTCAGAGTGTATTTCAAAGTAGAAGTGTATTTCAGAGTAACCTGAAGTGGGATGGAGGAGTACTAAAATCACAAAAAAATTAGTGGATTATGCCAAGTAACACTACCGACGTTGAGTTTATTGTTGACCCGAAGGTTTTATTCCATGGTGGATTAATTTACAGCTATTTGCACATAAGTTGATCAAGTGACTGCCAGGGGAGTGTGCAGATTGGTTCTTTGACAACATCATGACATGATCATATTTCTTTCATAGACGATACAGCATGTCCCGGCAGAGAAGCAGCATTTTGATTACCGAGCATGCGCTGAACCGTCAACCTGTCCCTCTAATTGGGGCGAGTTCTCATTCTAACTTGTGTGTCAGTGTCAAAAATTTACTGAAATCAACTCCCGCAACACTACCGCAGAAAAAATATTTTCTCCGTTCAAAAACAAAATACCACGACACAACCTGTCAGCAGAGTCCTTTTTACGTATAAAGTGTTTTCACTCAAGTTGCCAGCATCTATGCAAATTTATTAGAACAAAAGAAAGCGGTTGCATAAGAAAAGAGTACAACTCCCAGAGGATTGGTTTGGGACACCAACATGGCTACTGTTTCATTGTTTTGGGACACCAATATTGCCGCCGTGATGTCACGTGAAAACACTCTATTCGAGAAAGGCTCTGCATGAATCGAGTAAGATCTTTATTGAGCACGCGCGGCAAGCTTGTTGGAATATAGTTTCAGACCCAGGTCTGATAGCCGTTCGCTAGGCACAGCGGGCTCAGTTAGAACCACCGATGGATGCTAGCACCTAAAAATCTAGTTTGACGAGAGAAACAATATTTTTAATAGTCCAGAAGTTCGGGCTAAGGCCACTTCAAAGGCTTGATGCAATACAGACAGTACCTCCTTTTCTCCCTCTCCATCAAAACTATCAGGAAGAAGACCTGCTCGGAGGGTAATCAATTCAACAAAAATAACAACAACAAAAAGAAATTTCAGTTCAAAGGTAAATGCCAAATGATTAATTAGACGGCAATTTACCGATTGAAGTGCACAAACCGCTGGATGAGACCTTAATTATTTTAATTGTTATTATAGTGTACTGCATGATTGAATTGGAGAGGCTCTGGTATAACAACCTGATTCCAATCCAGAATCTTTTCCTTATTTTCTGCAAGTGAAGTAGGGTATTCACTGTAGTCATTTCGTTCAGCTGCTGCCTTCAAATCGAATGAAAAGAACTGTCGAACTGCACATCCACAAACGTCTAGATCTCTAAGGCAACAAACTTGACGAGCTAACTGAGCCAAAACCCCTCCTGTACTCTTTGTGAAGGACAAAATAAACGCAAGGGTTGATGGCACTGTTTGCATGTCCCACAAATAAGCAATAGAACATTGTTGTCTCGGGAACATTGCAATTTATGTAGATATCGCTAGAAAACTGAAGGAAATAGATCACGTGATATTGAAGCCAAGAAGCGACAAAGACACAAACAATAATGATAAGCAATTTTAAAAGGTTTTTCTTGGCCATTGAATGAGTTCGATGAGGTGGCAAACTGGGTGCTGCTTGCCCAGGGACGCTTCTTTTCCAGACTTTGAACTCTAGAAACGTATACAACACTGTTATAACAAAAAGTGGTAGAGCGTAAAATAGCGCAACCTGGACAATTGTATAATTTTGTCCACCTGTTAGTGGATCAAACAGGGGTGACCATTCTTCGTAGCGGTAAAATGCGCTTTGGTATTCTTCCATTCTATTGGCGTATAGAAGAGGAGAGCAGACTAAGAAAGACACGAGCCAGAGAGACATGATAACATAACGTGTTCTCTGCAACCAAGTGATCCTTTTAAAAGGAAAAACAATGGCCATGAATCTGTCTGTGGCTATCGACATTAGCGATAGCACCGAACATGCTATAGATACGTCTTGTGTGTAACCCACCAGCTTACAGATCAAAAGACCGACTTGTCCTCCTATCACAACTGCGTGTCTGTTTATTAGCTGTATTTGCAGTTTGTAGGGCATATGGAAGATTGTTATGAGCAGATCCGCCACTGCCTTGTTGACAATCAAGTAATGCGTCAGAGTTCTCATTCTGCGGTTCTTGCGTACAATCATTATAACAGCACTGTTTCAAGGCAGAGAGATCGTCATTGCTAATAAGCATAATGTTGTTCGCGTGAAGCGTTTCTGCGGTGTGTATCCCTCTTCTTCTTGGCATTCTGATGATAGATTGTGTTTCTCGTTCGAATCGAAAGGTCCTGTTGAAATGTTCGTGTTGAAGTTTATGTCTTGATCCATTTCAATTAAAATGGCAAACCTTACATTAGCACAATTTGTCTCACAGATACTTCCTCGCTCGTTTTCTTACGTAATAAATAACCGGCACATTAAATTCTTCTTTGAAAAAGAATTGCCACCAGTCAGAAATTAAAACAATTAATTGCGTCAAAAGAGTATCGAACAAAATTCTAATCGATCACCGTCGAATTAAAATAATAAGGTAGCCCGCTGGTTATGAGCTTATGTTGGAAAACAGGACACATTTGCTCCTGATGGATAATCATATCATTTCAGAAGAGGTATTTAACTATCGAGACAAAAGGACCGACAGTGGAAAGATAAATGGAACTCTCTGAAAACAGTAAACACGAGGTTTTAACAATGCAAGAAGAGTGGGAGAACTCTCGCATCCCATTGGACAAAGAAATGAGTCGCAAACTAATAATTACACTTTAAGACACATATTTGTTAAATGAGTGTCGTTTAAGCAAACCAAGAAGGTAACTGAAATTAATTTTCTCTTGTTACATATCAACAGACGCTGTAAGGCTCGTTAAAAACTAGATTACGTGTATTTTGTTTTAGATCCAGAACGAGCCATAATGAACATATGTACTTAATCGCCTTACCAGTACAAGATAACTTCGACCTTTGATTAAGATGAGAACCAGACGACCATGAATGGAGCAAAGGGGACAAAACGCTCTTTGTTAACTGAAAATCGCCACCCTTGCAAGTTCAAGTGATTTCAACTTGCCCGCGTTTCGAGTAAAACATTTTCATCAATACTGTATGGGCATAATTCTTCCTGAGAATAGTGTGAGAGTTGTACCGATGCTATACTTATATACATAAGATGAAAACCCTTTAGAAAACCCTAAACTCTAATTTTTGCATCCAGAATTTGAATTGGGATTTGAATGACACATCAGGCCGTATAAGAGTGGCATGGTTTACTTTTTAAATTAATTGCTGCATATTTGAAATCTTAAACAAAGACAATGGATAAATTCTAGATATGAAGCTGATTAAAAACCTGTATTTCAAGGGCAGGTGGAGAGGAAGAAGAATTAATAACCTGAGGCTTTTGCTGATGCCAAACATATTTTTTCTTTTCAAAGAAGTAAAGTTTTTTATCTTGTCTTTTGAATACCACAAACAGGTCCAAATGAGGTACACTTTCAAACTTTCTCTTGGCCATAAAATATACCTTAAAGAATCAGTAACCAAACGTTTCCAAGCTGAAAGTAGAGTGAAAGTGACTTATCAGGATCATAATTTAAAGAAATATTTCATTTTATTCGCTAGACGCGCGGTCAACTAATTTCTCTTTTCTTTCTGGAAAAGACCTCTGAAAAAAGTGAAGTTTCCACAGCCGTTTTAAACAGCAAAGTCTATTAGCTGATCAGTTTTTGAAATAATACAACTCAGCGGCAAACAAACGGCCTTCTTATACAAACGGCGGCTTCAACAAGGTGGACGAATAATTGATTAAGACAATGATCACAATTTTGTACATTTCTACCTTAAGTGCAAAATACAGTGACAATTTCTAACCTTGTAGCTGAAAAGCGGTCTTCCTTCTACCTTCAAACTTTTCTGGTCACGCGGTTTGGCGATGTAATCCACCTTGCAACTTGGCCAATTTGTGCTAAACGTCGGTCGCAATAAAACAGCAAATCAAAAGGCACGTTATTTTGTCAGTTGCAATTGGCCGTGGTGGATGTTTTCTACACGAAAAATGAATCGTGCAGGAAATTAATAAAAACACGACAGTTCATGCGAACATGAACTAAAATAAGCATATAGGCTCCCTCCTTTATTGGTTTTTGCTCAATTTCCTAACTTAAATTGTTTGCGTTAAGCTTGAATAAACTATATTCCATTACGGTGGGTGACCGACACCTAACCTTTTAGATGTGTTTCCATTTTTAAAAGGCCTCCATTTGGTTGCTAGACAACGAAGTAAATTCCCGGCAAAATTGCCGCTCGTGTTCATTGTCAAAATTACAGTCTTGCCGCGGCAGTTCAGTTCATGGTCATAGCCTTCCATATCGTCTGACCAGCATCTATTTAATGGAAATAAAATGATACAAAAGAGTATAACTTGTCCTGTTCCTTTTCAGGTATCGCTGCCTCTGGTTACATTAATATGTTACGCTTCCACTCCATCTTTCTTAAAGGTTAATAAATTTGTCATTGGAATTTTAAAATGTTTCAAAGGAACAAAAAGGTGTCTAAAATATATAAAGAGGATATCTTGGAAAGGTAGGATCAGTTTAACGTCATCACGATTTCTATCTCACATTAGTTGCCGGACAGCTTTGAGACACATATGTGTATAACAAGGACTAATGACAGTAATTCTGCGCGTTTAAACGCGCGATTTCAAATTGCCCTTTGATTAATTTCTTATGAAAGGAACAATTCGCAAGTGTGATGACTTTCTTGGCGGTTGATGACTATTTTTCTTGAAGCAATGTATGTAATCACATGTGCATAACAAGATATTACCGTGTAAATTGCCTGCACTATTATAATAAGTAAACTTATTTATATAGTATATCTAGCTACATATCTTACAGCTGGTATCGTCAGCCACAGTGTTGCACAAACTTTGATATGCACCGCATTCAGCCATAAAGACTATGAATAGCTAGTTTGTAATGTACAAATTAACGGTCTGCTCAAGCCGATAGCCATACTGTAGCTTCAAATTAGACTTGCATTATAAAAATTGTCTTTCATCAATCCACTTTGAGGCTGGTATAGTTAGTACCGACATGGCGCTTTGATAAAATTCCAACTATTTAATGATAGAAGATTATCTCCTCCAGTTATGTCGCTTCAAACAACGATTTAAGGGCAGCGCATCCGCAATACAAGCTGGTTCTTCAGTCTATCATTCAGGGTCGAATTAGAATTTGGTAATGTTATAAGAGTGCCGAAAAAGTCAAAAACAAACCCAACGCACCTGGGCATGTATTGACTCCAGAAAGTGAGCAGAGGAAACATTGGTGTAGCAAAAGTGCTCTCACCCTATATGAGCGACTTTTGTTCCCCTGAATGGATGCTAGCTCAAAGTTATTCCCAATTTCAACAATGAAATGGAAAGTGTTACTGATGACAGATCAATGAGTGGGCAAATGTGGTCCTGCATCCATCTAAAGTTTGCGTCTTCGGATTTCTTCCATACTAATTAAAGCAGCAGCATAAACGATGATATTGATAAAAATGATGCATAGTAACTTTTCTAAAGTAATTAGTATAGTTTGACGTGCTTCTCAACTGGGAACGCAAAAGTTTGTTTGTATAGGTAAGGTGCTGAAGTTCTCCAAGTCGCATTCCTAGCTGAGCGAAGGTGGCCTGGATGATCCTGCGCTCACCTAAAACACGCCTTTATTGAAGATATCTGAAAGAGCTCAATATTTCAAGGATATCCCTCCTGCTTTGTGTATGTATCAAAAAGGAAATTCGATCTATAGGTAAAAATTTTTGTCGAGTTTTTTTGGCGCATGATTTTCTTCGCTTTTTGCACCCTCAAAATTACAACTGATAAAATTGACTTTAGTGCTAGCAAATTCTGCTAACCTTGTTTTTAGAGAAAAAAGCTAAGGGTTTACCATAACTAATTCTTCTGAAATTTCTGCCTTTCTTTTGGCGCTGTTAAGATTAAGACCATTTAAAGAGCTACCTTTGCACAATGACCCGTTGCAAGCCAGGAAGACCTTTGAAAGAATATTCTTTATAATAAGTGTTTCCTACACTCGGAGTCAAAGACGACATAAATTATTGGATTCATTGAACTGTTTGTATACGCGAGAAGAGATCCACCAAACCAGAGCAACTCAGGAAGACAAATATCGATCATGAAATTATTAATTAATAAAGCCACGTCTTGTGGAAGCCAACAGAAGGCAAACACCACCACACTTACGATCATCATTTTAGTGACTTCAACAGTCATGCGCTTGCGGCTATGGGAATTGACGAACGACGAAGCCTGTGCCTTAACTAGTCGCCTCCAGAGTGTAACACAGAAGCTGAAGTAAAGTACAAAAATGATAAGTGGGCATGCGTATAGAAGTGTAAAGAATGCTATCTGGAATACTTGATTGGCAAGAGTAGTATCAGTTGAAGACCAGTCCTGTCCTGCTGAACATAATTACCTTGGCAATTTTCAAGGTTATAAGACGGAATCCTCCAGGAAATTGAGTAATTTTAATTATCAGTGGACAAAATCCTTGTACCAGAATAATTTAAAGAATATTGCATTCTTTTTTACTTTTTTTTTTTAACCCTTAAACCTCCCCCCCATACATGGTATAGTTTACCACCCCTTGAAGTTTTGGAGTTTTTTTCTGCAATAATTATGCGGTCTCTTTTGCATCTGTTATTAATCTATTTATCAAGGTATAGTTTAGACTTCTCTGGTCTTCTTCGTTCTCTCTTTTCAATCCATCGTTTGTTGAAGCTATCACTTTTTTGTAGTTGTTTTCATCGACTTTTGCCATACACACATCATTCAACACAAAGATGTAATTAGTCTTCTGTAATAACACCAAAGAAAATTTCTTATGGCAGTCCGAGAAAATGAATGTCAAATTTTACCACGAATTGTGAAAACACAGGTAAAATTCTGAAAACTCCATGTGTAAGCTGAAATTTTGTGAAACTTGGCATCCATTTTCTCGGGCTCCTATAAGAAATTTTCCTTGGAGTTATTACAAATGACGAATTACATCTTTAGCCCTTGAAAAATGTAAAAAAGAATGCAATATGCTTTAAATTATTCTGATACAAGGTTTTTGCCTTGACCGAAAATTAAAATTACTCAATTTCCTAGTGAATTCCGTCATAATCCTCTTGAATGGAAATATGATGGAACAGAACCGTTCCACAGCAATTGCAGTGAAGGTGAAAGACTGAAGAGACCGCCTCGTTTAACACAGCTAACAGGCCAATGCAATATAACTGTCCCGCGACACCGTCAAAAGCTTCTAGCTTGAACAGCACTGGCATGTTTACAACAGTTATTGCCCCCGCAGGGATTTCGCCCAGAGGCGAAATCCCGAGGAGGCACCCTAGTAACTCGCGCGTATATTTAGGGCAGTACTTACAGTTCAAATATACAGTGAGTATACTAGAAAAAATCTCGATTTGCTCGAACTGGGGCCGCGATTAATCGGTAGGTAATGATGACGTATCTATTCTTTGCTCCCGCAAGTACGAAATGGTTAGGATGACGTAAAGACAGAAAATCCTGAAGGGACCGCTCAGGTAGATTTTGTGGCATTTATTGAGCAGATACTCTTTTGCGCTAGGCATTGACATTCTGTGGAGCAGTTGTTTTGAAAGTTATGGACCAAAAGACACTCGTTAAGCGCAGGGGAGATTATAAGGTGCGTTTAACTGTGTAGATATATAAACACTTGGAGAGTTTGCCAGACACGAGTTCACAAATCCTTGATTTATATTGGAAACCTTGCCAGACACTCTTTCTCTCTCTTTGACCGTAATAAGACTCAGCCCCAAACAAGCAAGGCGAGTGAACAACGGCTAACACTAGCAGACTGATGAACATTTACAGAAATTCGTCGACAATCAAATTCTTTGCTGACTTATTCCCTGCTCACAGATGTCCTTCCGTTATAAAGTTTCAAATAAGACTAGAATGCGCTAGCGTGAATCGGTCAAATTAAACGTCCTTTTAGTTTCTAAGGCTTAGTTTCCAGCAAATGAAATGAACTGAATGTAAAAAGGGAAAGAGAAATAGCGAAAAATTCAGCTTCTAATAAAATCTTTTCTTATGGTTTATAATAACCTTTTCTCGAAACTGAGAATGCTTTGATCAAAGCTGTGTAAATCGACCTGAAACTGTGCATGGAACCTTGCGTTTCCTGTATTTATCTCACCTATTGTATGGAATATGTGTGAAAATCTTCATTATGAATCGGTATATTTCAAAGAGCTACACAACCAGCAAGAATACTATTGACCGACAATATACAAAACGGGGGCAGCTGTAGTGTCAACTATTACTAGTCAGTTATCAGTAGATCGTCTCTAGGAAAGTGTGAAAACTGCCAATGAGCAATGCACTCGGCTAGCAGGATAGATACTTTGCATGAACACTGTTGTTACTTAGTGTTCCAAGGTGCTTTTGAATTTATCAAACGTAAAATCATTCACAGGAGCGCTCAAAATCCTGCTGAGTTTTCGAACTTTGAGTCCATGTTTCGCTTAGGAATTGGCGCTAAGACGAACTCAACACGTAAATAACACATGGTTTCTACTATTTGGACTACATTTCACTTTCTTTTGATTGGTTGAGCCGCTTTGGGTTCTTATTAACCCAATGCATATATATCACCTCGGCAACTGTCATGGGTAATTCTTTTGGTTGACGTGTCCACATGTCACCCACAAAAATTTCCCTCCCCGTGGGCAACAGCCATATGCACGTGGGTAAATGGCTCGTTTAACCGCACCTAGTAAAACCTTCTTAAGCCTGTCAGGGTCCATGGAATAGGATTTCTTTACCCAAAACCAACTTTGAAACAAGACGCGTTGAACGCGCTCATTTGAGCGCAGTGTATATAAAGGGAAGAAAGACTTGAAAGTGTGTAAATGAAAATGTGAGGGAAAACACGAGGCTAGGGTGAAGAGCTAGAAGTCTGCAAAATTTTTGAAATTTACGAGCGGTACAGGAGACTTTATGATTTATGACGCAGGATTAAGGTAGGAAATGTTGTCGCAAAGATCTGTGAAATGAATAAATAAAAGATACATATATTGTGAAAGGTTTTAACCCAGGATCCATTTCATAAGTAGGTTGAGTATGATCGTCCGGGTACGGTGAACGTAGTCCTGAATAGGACTGTTGTTGACAGTGGCTGGCGTTTTAATACCATCAACTGGCGTGATACAACTCACTTTAACTCAGAAGATGACTACCGCACAGGTTGTCGAAACGTCAGTCACTGTCAACAAGAACAGTCCTATTCATACTCAAACTACTCAAAAGATACATTGTAAATTAGACTTTATTATATACATACTGAGAAATACTCACGAAAAAGTTGTGTTGTAAATTTTGATACGCAAATGAGTTCTAGCCAATCAGAGGAGTGAACTATGGTTTTCACAAACAGTTAAGATTACTTGTAGTTTTTGGATTACCTCACAGCATCCTTACCGTCATTTATGTTTTTAAGAAACGTTTCTACTAAAAAGCTGTTGCTTCGTTTTCATTGTTATTTCTTGGTGTGTAGCGGCAATTTTGGAAAGTTTTAAAATAAAAAGGCCACCAAAATGATGAATGTCTCAGTATGTATACAATAAACACAATATACAAATTATACCCACTCGTTGTTTTTGTCAAAATCGAACGATCCTTATTACCATACGCCAGCACTTTCATATCTGCACAACAATAACTATATACAACTTTAATTAAACGAAAATTACAAGTTGGCAACTAAGACTTAATAGAAAAGCTAAGAATAAGAAAATAAAAACACTATACAAAGTTATCAAGATCCTTATTGTAGTTCATGCAGGCTACTTTAATGAATGAAACCTGCTGTGGTGCTTTTTTGTTGGTAAAGGTTTTGAGAACTCTTTTAAATGTATCAATGTTCTCATATTTTCGAGCAGTCTTTTCTAAACAGTAAACAGTTCCAGTCAACAGCACCGCCCCCCCCCCCCAAGATATTGTCTCTTTTCTCTAGATACTTCTATCAACTTCCTTAGGCCTTTGCCTCGTCTAATGAGTCCACATTTATATACATATTGAGACAGCCTAATTAGCATGTGTTTTGCCTCCTTAGACATCTCAATAGCTAATCTTCGTTTATAAAACCAACCAAGATTTTGCCGGTGAACACGCTGTAATATGTCACAATCCATGATATTCTTAGGTAACCATTCAATGATTTTGGCCGCGTTTCGATGCAGTCCTTTAATTTCGACAAAAGTAGCAGGAAAAAACCTTCCCCACACTGATATGGAGAAAGTTACAAGTGGAATTATAGTCTTGAAATATGTATCCTCCAAAAGCTTGGATGAGAATTTCCTTAAGCATACTCGTTTCATTACCATATGATTCTGCATATTTTATGTACTTGATCTTTCCAAAGCAGTCTGTTATCAATGACCACGCCCAAAGATTTGGTAGAATAAATGTATTCAGGTAAAGTGTTTCCACGTTGAACAGGAAGTAGGGGCTCAACAAAAATATTCCTCTACAAGATCATCACTTTCGATTTGCCTGTATGAAGAGTTTACTTGTTTGAGTTACATTGCACAACAGATCTCTCCAAACAGCAAGTTTAGTTTCCGCATAACGTCATCAGTGCTATCAGCAATGACAAAAGCTGTGGTGTCGTCAGCATAAAAATGTAATTCACCTTGCGATATTGATTTCGAAAAGTCATTAAGATAAATTGAAAAGAGTCTGGGCCCCACAATGGAACCTTGAGGAACTCCATGCTCAACTTGATGTAGACCTGATTTCTGCTGAAGACAAAAGAAAAAATACAAAAATGTCGCCCTGCATAATCCATCAAGTTCTGGACTTCAGGCAGTGTGTCTTCGTGGAACATTTTTATCTTGTTACGCCGCAAAATCAAGAGGATTGGCAGATAGCAAGTCATGAAAACCCGCCAAAAACCCGAGCAAAAATTCCGTTGCCTGACCTAGAAATATCGCTGACGACTACTCGTCTTTTGTCTTTGAGGCGATCGAGACGCCCATTATATGGAAACCACTAATCGTTGCAGTCGTCCTTATAGTCTCAAAATTTGTTGAAACGATTGAAGCGATCGGGACAATCCGGACGATCTATGATAGAGAAACCGGGCTTAACAATCGCGGTGATCCTGTAAATAAACGATAAAGGTGAGCCACTCGCTGGTGTTAACTGTGAGGCAAGCTTTTCTCCTAAGTAGCAAAGAAGGAGTTCAAGGTGTTTGCTTGATCTTTATCATCGTATTAACTAATGTGTCATGCTCATGTCGCTCAGGACCAGTTCTTTCAGATCACTTCTCTATTTTTTGGTCATTTGTTTCACATGCTTCCAGAAATCCCTGGATCCTTTTACCTTGTTGCCTAATCCATCTCACCAATACTCTGCTTCTGCTTTTCTCATGGCTCTAGTTAGTTCATTCCTCAAAGTCATATATCTTTTCCTGTCTTCTTGATAACCCGGTTTTTGAAACTTGAGTAATAGCTTATACCTTTGATTTATGAGTTTACTTATGGCTCCATGTTCATGCCCTGTCTTCTTCCCAGAAAAAAATACCTTTTTATACTATACATATCCCTTGCCGTACTTGGCACGCGGCTAGTGTTGAGCACTGTTAAATTGAGCTGCGTAAATCTACGTCAAGTTAATAACTCACGTTTTCAAACGCCTGTTCATTTTATTTACATCAATTTATATCAACGATTTTTCCCTACACGTATTGTGTACTTTTCTATTCGCAGTCCTTGCACTATTTCATATTTTAACAGCCATTTCGATCTCAATCGACTCAATCGAAATTGCTGCTTCTGATAAATTGTAAATTAAAATAAATCCAAGTCCTTCAGTTGCAAAATCAACATGTTCGAAATAATGACGAGGTTGTCTCAAGAGCCATTAAAATTGCCAAACTTTTCCGGCTGTGGAGAGTGGGTTAATCGTTTTGGGTATTTTTTATACATTCTCGTGCGACATGACGTTTTTACAACGTAAACAGAAAGACCTCATCTATTTGGCTGTTAGGATTTGAGACAGAACGAACTAAAATTACACCAACATTACTTTAAGTCATATTTATGATTAAAATCATCTCAGTACCATATGATGTCTATGATACATCAAAGCAAACAAAAAGGAAAGGAACGAAGACTTTAGAGCGAACATGATGACCTTTATAAATATTCTGCGTTGTATTTACTACTAACACTGAGATTTCCTACTGTCATCTGGGAGCCGGCAAAGTAATTGTGCAATAAAAACTTATATTGACTGCTGTCAAATTTCTTTCAAGCGTGTTCTGTAAAAGTGTACACTGGACTGACTGTTTGGAGAACCTTCTTTTCCGGGTTTAGATAAAAGTAAATATAGTGTCATTGTCCATTTTAAGTCCACTCGCAAGGAAACATGAAAGTCAATCACATGAAAGAAAAACCGTAAAAACAATTACAACAAACATAACAGTTTCGTTTGAGAAAAAATATCCCAGAGTTTCTTTACTGCGCCGACAGTATTTCTTCGTAGGCTTGGAAGCGGGAGGTTAATAATTTGAAGAGAGCACTATGTAAAGCCCCAATGAGACATCGACAGCTTCACGCGAATTCGACAGATGGTAATCACTGGAACAGAAGCAACTAGACGTATGTTTTATCAAACAAAGCGGCTTAAGATAAGACTCTTCCACAATCTCCTTGAAGCACGTAGCTTTCTTCTGTAGTATCAGTCAGTTCAACTGAAAAGGTGTCCTTTCAGTTTCGTTGTCTCTATAAAGGTATGAGAAATTCGTCATAAAATGTACTCTAAATGTACTCGTCTTTTTACCTAATATAGGAATTAAATAAAAGTAATTCTACCATCAAGTTATCGTCGGTCTTTAGGTTCCTCGGAAGCCGTTTAAGCAGACTTTGGTTTTGTATTTAGGAATTCTCTTTTGTTGATCCTGACACCCTTTGGTCTTAAAACGGAATTTTCTTTTTGGACCGAAAACACCTTTCTTCCTCTGTGATCACGTAGAATAATTGTTGTAGACTCCAAACCATCATTGTTCATGCAAGATCTCGCAGCGATACCATGAGCCTGGAAAGTTAGTTTAAAAAGTTAGTTAGTTGTAGTTGTATACGTTTCTTAAAAGAGGGAAAAATGAATGTCAACAAGGTGCAAAACGAAAGAGTACAAGCAGAGTGTGAGTGAGTGTGAAGCAAAATATATTAAAGAAAACTTTTACACGTACAGTGATTGGCATGTTATAGCATAGTTTAAAAGTAGCCAAAACTGTTCATGAGAAGAATGCAAACTGATCAGAGACTCTGGCATCGTAGGATTTCTTTTATTCTCTTTCAAAAGTGATAAACTTTAAAGTACATGACGTTACGAACCGAGTCAAATTTAGAAGAATTTGTACGGAGTCGTAAGAGCATAAGTCGGATACCTAAGAGACAATTTACCCCCGAAAAGCAAGTTTGGCAAGTAGACATCACGGTAGGTGTTGTTTCTTCAGAGAATCCCCACTAATCCAATAGTTTCACAAATTTAATTTGAATTTATGACCCACACTTTAGGACTCTGTTCTACCACTTTCTAAAGTCGACGTATGACGAAACTTATTTTCTAAAGAAGTACTTCATTTATTTTTGCCTAGAAATGTTCAGCAATACAAGTTCTTGCCATCATAACCTGCCTTCAAAAACGGCTTCGATCGCCAAAGTAACAGCATACCTCCTCATCTTAGTGGTATCCACATTGGGTAATCTGCTGGTCATTCTTGTAGTGGTACGAAATCAACGCTTACGATCAGCTGTCATCAATCAAATGATCACCTCCATGGCAGTTGCTGACTTGCTGACGTCATTATTTAACATGACAGTTGAAATATGGATCTATTCAAAAGAAGCCACTGGTCACCAGGTTGTTTGGTTTGAGGGCGTCATTGGCGCTGTCCTTTGTAAGGTCATTGTTTTTGTTCAGGGCTTCTCATTGGCCTGTTCTGTTTTAACACTTGCCGCTATAGCGGTAAATCGATTCTTCGCCGTGTTTTTCCCTCTTAAAATGGGATTTGGCAAATCAGCATCAACAGTGGTGATTTGTTTAATCTGGTTAGCCTCCTGCGCCACAGCATCCCCAATGTTGTACGCCATGAAAGTCATAAAAGTAGACGGAAACCTACAATGCGTAGAGCAGTGGACGCCAGTCTTTAACGGCGAGTCATCAAAGAAAACTTACACCCTTCTATTGCTAACGCTGCTATACGCCTTGCCTCTTGGTATAATAACAGTCTTGTACACAGCTGTTGTGAGGAAAGTCTGGAGAAGGCAAGTTCCTGGAAATATCACAAGCCCAAATCAACAGCTAGAGTTGGTCACCAAGAAGCGTGTTCTAAGAATGCTTATCACAGTTGTGATAGTTTTCGCGCTCTGCTGGTTTCCCTATTACACTTATCTTATTCTTACTTTCGTTGTTTATGGTCCAGATAATTGCAGTCCTCCTACAAGCGTGGTGTTCGTGGGCCTCTTTCTTGGTCATACAAATTCTGCGATCAATCCGTGTATCTACGCGATTTTTAACAAAGAGTATCGTAGCAGTCTCATGGCGGTAAATCGAGAATGCTTGCTATCGTTACACGGAAGTCGTGTCCCAAGAACTCTCAATCAAGGCCTGGTAAAACTCACGCAGCTTGGTACAGGTAATTTGACAATTCGAGAACAAGCAAACTCTCTCGCAGACTAAAGAAACTTCGAAGCGACAAATGTTTCAAAGGGATTTACTCATGTTTTTTGTTAATGTGACCAGGCAAGCATCTATCTAAGTTGCTCAAATTGTTTGCATCAAGAAATATCAAAATCATATAATATATAGTTATTATATAACAACGGTAATATAAATGAACAAGTTAAGAATATAATAAAATGTATAAAATTCTCATAGTTTAGAGTTGCAAAGTAAGATATATAACTTCCAAAACCACAAACCATGTTAAAATAACGAGGAAGTTAAGGTAATACAAAATCACAGATGGTTAAATATATCAAGCTGCGTTTTAACAATTTTATTCCTGTAATCAAACCTTAAAAAGAACTTTTAATCTCTTTCTCATCTATTTCACTCTAAAACTTAATGCATACCAACTCGACAATAAAGAAAGTCAAAGATGGGAGAAGAAGATTTGAACAGTATTTTTTGCTAGGTAATCCAAGGGGTCATTTGTGGGTGAATTTTTTTTCTTGCCGGCTGATCTTGCGAAAGAGGCAAGAAATGAAGTTCTCTCAAACTGAATAGAACTGGGCACGAGTTACAATTAGGGTATCAGTTTTTACGTGATCGTCACGTGATTCCGTTTTCGTTTCTTGCCAAACAGTGCAACAGCGTTTTCCCGACTCTCCCATCCTTCTACCAGTCCAGAAAAAAAAAAAAAAAAAAGAATAAAAGGTGTGAGTTGTTTGACAGTAGTGTATCAGTTTCAGGAAGGTTTTTTGTCTTTTTGACTTTTGTTTGTTGTAAAATTTTTGTGACGGCTGTGATTAAAGTGCTGTAACTTTGTTGTGTGCAGACAAATGGCATTCAGTGTGTGCTGAACAGGCTATATTTGAAAATAATTGGATAAATATAAAAGAATCCCAGGAAACTTTTTTAATGAAAGTACAGCGCAATATTTAACCTCATGAACTTTCTCTTTTGTTTGACTGTCAGCTTGAAATACAAATAGCAAACTGAGCGAGCCTTGACTCGATTTGGTAAAGGAAATGACTTTACGGGTTGCTTTTTTTCACTAGTTTTTGATGGTTCGATCAGTTGAACACAAGCCACGACTGATGATACTTACAGTTTTTCAAAAGTAAAAGGATTAATCTTTACCGTAGGTCCCTGCATGATCTGATTGTCACGCCGAAAGTTAATTTTTCTAGTCTTTCTATATTCTAGAATAATATATTCAATTTCAGTAGCCTTTACAAAAACCGATAAGCAAATATTGATCAAAGGAAGACTTTTTTCTTACTCGATACGCGTTCTATCTTAACCTTTCCATATGAAATCTATTTCGATTTTAATTTAATTTTTAGCACAACTTAAACTCTCTTTGTAAGAAAGTACTAGTCACGAGTTGTGCCGTGTTGCCAGTTCTGGGCAGCCTTCCTCCGCATGTATAAGTATAGCTAACTGCTAAAGTGCGGTCAGATTAGCTCGCCTACAGCATCAAAGGTCCCGGTATACCAAACTAGGCAAATATCATCAATGCTCAATCTCTTGCAACAATACTGTAATCGCGCTTCACAAAGACGATTTTACAAAACTGATATAAATTTGATTAAAAAACACTTTGCAATGATGCTCAAATATCTTGTAACATTCAAGGCTGGCTTAAAACATTATTTTGCACTCTAACATCATTTTGTTTCCTCTTCCCTGAAACGTTTCTGTTTTTTTTTGTTTCTTAGAGATTTGATTTTGTTTTTGTTTTCTGTTTTTGCTACAGTCACCCGCTTTCACATGCTCTCAGAGTTTACTCTTCACCTGGCCATTGCTACAATAAATAAGAAAACAACAAAATAAAGGGAAAAAAACCAAGCGGAGTTTTGAATTAAATCAAGGATCTGCATAAGTTTTAATTTATTACTATTTAAACCGACACATCGTTTAGCACTTTCTTCAAATCAGCTTATTTACATTCACAGGGCATAACTGTAATGTCATATTCATGTCGGAAAATGTTTTACTTGATATGTCGGTGTTTTTCTTTAAAGTACAATATAATTACACCCGTCACCCTGATGTCTTGTTACTGGCTGCTTTTCCGGACATGACCCCCTTAATCGTCCGGCACTCGATACAGTCTTCACTTATCTTATTCTGTCGTGCTTAAATCCATCTATATATGCCGACAAAAGAAACATAACATTTTTTAACATGCTGTTTTAAAAACCTACTTTTGCTCATTTGAGTTATCTGAAAGTGCAAATGTTTTAATACAAAGTACGGTGCTATTACTTTCATCATTTAAAATTCTACGTTATCAACATCGCCACTTTTACCGAAAATTTCTCAGCTCACCTTGTCATCACGAAATTGAACTGATCTTACAAAAGAAACTGTGATTTTACGCCATATCGGTTTGTTCAGTTTTAAGAATGTCTACCACGTGCACAAGAGGTAAGAATCAAAATCCTGCTTTTCTTTAATTGCCCTTAGTGAAAAATTTGAATTCATGATGCTTGAGATGCTTATTTTAGGCAGATGAGACGTTTCTTAAACGTTTCAGTATCTCAGTTTTCTCTCTTTCTTCCTTTTTTTATTTTTATTTTTTTTGGCATCTGGCATCTCAGTTCATCATTCGGATAATGTCGGCTCCTCTTTTTATTAGTTCCTTAGACATTGAATAGTCCTAGTTACCTCGCTTCTCTTTATATTCTTTTTCTCCCTTCTTCTTCTTAAGGGAAAAGAACTTGAATGGCACTGTACTATAACAATTGAGGTAGATCTTTGTTTCCTTTCACCAAGCAACACTTCGGCAAATATTTCTCAATTGTAATTTCAAGAATCCAAACGGCCGGCTAAATGTGTTAACTGACTTTGTAAATGACTCACATCAGAGGGCAGCCAAGAGACATCAAGCGCAGACATAGAACTAACTTTCCTTTGTAGTTGAAAATTCCGCTTCGATATATTTCTGGTTATGTCGATATAGATTTGTTAACTACGTCAGATAGAAACGAAAATTTTATTTAACAGTATTGCTTTTCCATATCGAATTATTACAACATCATTACGGCATATGAAGTTAAACGCCAACTTTAATTTCTGTGCACCCTATTTATGTTTGAATGAAACTAAGAATAATTACAATATAACTGCATTTAAAATACACGCCTGCATCTTGGCCTTTTCAGAAAATAGAAGATGAGATTCAGTGCTGATGGTTGTTTATTTGCCTTTTTATAAATACGAATCTGTTTTCCGTTCCTTGTCACAACAGGCATGAAGCATGAAAATACAATTTTAACTGTTGAACATTTTTGTACCTCCAAAAGTACTTCACCTAGTTTCAAATTTAAGGAGATTTCCTAATACCAAATACAGATTATTCATACTAAAAACGCACATAATTTTAAGCTGTCAATCTTGAATGCATATAACGATGTGTGGTTCGAGAAAAATACATATTCCAAAAATCTCGTCAAACTTACTTTACGTTTAAAGTGTTCGTTCAATATTCTATTCGTAAAGACAAATATCGATAATTGCTTTTTATCGTTCATAAGAGACAGCTGATCGGAAAATAAACATCGGCAGAAGAGGATTCGTGAAAGTAGTAATTATTTTATGTTATGACTATGGTTGTATTTTTATTTTTTTGTCCTGCTTTATAAGGAACATACAAGTAAAATATGGCTTTCAACGTCACCTTGAACTTAAGCTATTCATCAAGCTGCCCACAGCCTCACCCGACCAACATCGGGGCCACCTGTCAACTCATAGCATACAGCATCATTTTCATTGTTTCCATATTTGGCAATAGCATTCTTATCGGTGCTATATCAAGTAATTCCCCTCGTACTCAATCCGTCATGAACTACTACATCGTCAATATGGCAACTGCTGACCTCCTGACAACAGTGTTCGACATGGGAATACAGATCTGCCACTATGCTCTGATGGTCATGAACAGACCATTTGAATGGTTGGATGGGTTAAAGGGCGTATTTCTTTGCAAGTTTATCGTTTTTATTCAAGGCGCAGCTATCGCATGTTCTGTGTTCACATTGGTGGCCATTGCGATTAACCGATTTCTTGCTGTTGTGTTTCCATTTCGTCGAAGCCGAAAAAACAGAACAGTAATTATGGCAATTTCTCTAATCTGGATGTCTTCGTTCGCTATTGCATCGCCTATGCTCTACGCTATGCATGTGCAGAATGTGGACGGCATTTTGCTTTGTCTGGAGAACTGGGGACCACTTTTTGACAACAGTTCTTCGCCAGGGAATTACACCTTGGCGCTGTTCTGCTTACTCTTCATTAGTCCACTGGCGGTAATAGCCACCTTTTATTTAATCATTGTTTTGAAAGTCTGGTTACGTTCCGTTCCAGGTCACGTAACCGCTCCTAACCAATTACACGAAATCGAAACAAGGAAGAAAATTCTCAAGATTTGCATTACCGTTGTGCTCGTCTTTGCACTTTGTTGGCTTCCGTTTTACATATATCTTATTCTTTATTTTATTGTTTCTCAAGATAGAAATAGTTGTGGACCCCCTGAATATGTGGCTTTTCTAGGATTGTTTTTTGGCCATGCAAACAGTGCCATAAACCCTTTTATTTACATCATGTATAACAGTGACTACAAAAAAGGTATAAAGAGGGTTCTAAAGCGACTTCGATGTTCCTGTAGATATAACAGAGTGCGCATGCGTACTGGCCGAAAAACCTTACAGAGCTTCCCATCTCTCCGAACCTTTAGGGAACTTGAAATGACCACGCTGTAGTTGTCTCCCAATGAACGACATAAGAGCCAGTGCATGGCCTGTAAACAGATGCTCGACATGGAACCCTACAGAATGACTGGGAGTCTCCGTTTAACTATTTGTAGATACATATTGTACACATAATTTAATTTGCTGGTAAATTGGAAATGGGTTGGTTGATCTGAACTACTAAGACCTAAAAGTGCAAACATGAAATCTAGCAAAAACAAAGCAAAACAAGACAAAATGGATTGGAATTCTCCTTAAAAGCGCTTCTGAATCCTTTCCCACTTTGACGCTTGTATTAACCCCCACCCCCCACCCCCTCCACCTTCACAAGTATAGATCTAATATCGGGATGTATTATAAATGATACGTAAGTCATAATCATGTTATAATGTTAATCCTATTTTTTGGCGGAAATATTGAAAGCAAGCAAATCATCCCTTCAAGTGACTATACTACCTCAACCATCAGTACATTAGAGGCGGATCCGGCGTAAAGAACAAACCAATCAGTTAATTTACGCGTTTTATGCAACTCTGCATTCAAAAGTTGAAAAAGTGTCTTAAGGGGCTAGGTTACAGTATTCTGGATGATTATGCCTTTTTCTGTTCATTGAAATTAGAGAAATAAAAGCCTTTTAGTCGTTGAGATCAGCGCCACATACATAACACTAGACGTCTACTAGATGATTCCTCTGACACTCTCATATAACAGTTGATACAAACATGATATGAGAAGCGGGCCCGGCAGTTTTCACGCAAAATGTTTTGATTAATCTTTTTCAGTTTCACCTGGCTCCTTTTCGACTTTTCTGTACTTACATTTTTCGAAAGTTCAAAGCAGATAATATTGTCAAAGGTTTGAAACCAGGAGCCATTTCAAAAGTAGGTTGAGTTTGATCGTCCGGGCGGAACGTAGTCCTGAATAGGACTGTTGTTGTTCACAGTGTTGACGTTTCGACAACCTATTGTTAGTCAAATTGTCATTCTCTCGTAGTTAGTTTTGCTTGATCTACGAGAGAATGACAATTTGACTAACAATTTGACTAACAATAGACGACTGTTTAAATGTGACAATAGACGGATCGAAACGCACCAATTACTGATTACGAGTCTTCATAGCCAATAACATCACGGCTTAACTGACAGACGACCAATATAATCGCGACGTAATTGACCAATCAGATCAATAACCAGAGTATATAAATACCATCAACTGACGTGATACAACTCCCTTTGACTCTGAAGATGACTACCGCACAGGTTGTCGAAACGTCAGTCACTGTCAACAACAACAGTCCTATTCAGGACTACGTTCACCCGGACGATCCAACTCAACCTACTTTTGCAAATAATATTGTGATCATGTTCAACTGCCTGTCTCATTCAAGTCTTTATATACTACATCAAGAGACTCGATTCAGCTGTGCAATCAATTTGTACCTTCCAGTTGGTAGGCCATTGCAAATTTTATTAAATTTTCTGCAGTGAATAATTTGATGTTGTCACACTTATTTCAAGTTGTCCTACCAGAGTTCTAAACGTCTCTTTGAGAACTCAGACTAGCACCCGCAAGCCTTGTTACAAACTTCCAGATTCTCTTTCTTTCGACTGGACTCTCTCCAACACTTTTGGAAACAGTTGTCGTCGCAGTCTGTTAAAAATCCAGCCGGATCCTCGAGACGCTTTGAATCTCTTACTGGAAATCAAAACCGATCAATTAGTAAGTGCTTTTAGGGAGCCTGAAGGGGCTTTGTCCCGTGGGAATTGCTGTTTATAGGTCAATTCTGTGCTGAAGTTATTACTCATGCACAAAATACCTTTGTAGAGTTAAGAGAAAGATATGAAACAAGTTTTGTTACGGAACATTTACCATAAGTAAGTGTAAACCTTTTGGGGGATTCTGCAGGCATAGTATTGTAACTTGAAAAAGTTGGCGGCCAATTTTTTCAAGTTTCAATCTACTTCTAACCTTGTCATCCGTTTCAACAGGCGACAGTAAACAGTTTCAATGCCTAAATATATACTTGAATAACACAGCTGGACCATTATTTTTTAAAATTCAATTAATGCGAAAAATATTTTTAAAAATTTTTTAATTAATTGCTTGACATAGCACATGCGGACAAATTTTTTGAACGTAACGGACAAAACCTTGCACGGACCCGCCTTTCGTTTTGACCAGGACCCAGGGAATCCTACATGCCCAAATATTTGAACAGAAAGGTGCGCAAGTGTTTGACCTGATCAGAAGTAGGTCAAAACTTTTAACCGGTGCGGTTCCACTTTTACATCGACTCTATACATTGTGCAAGTTACGCCCTTTTGTTAAAAATGCCATTCCAAAGCTGACACCGGCAAAAATTTTACGAACTCTTGTAAACAGTACTGTTTTAACAGAATTTGCACGGTTCTGTAGAAAATCGTTCCTTCCAAAATTTGTTCCTGGACCCGCGTAAACGAGGTCTATAATTAGCCCTCTTTGCCTTGATTGTATCTGCCATTTGCTATCTTTTTAAAAACAGGGGCACCCAAAGTCACTTTTTGGAAAACATCTGTTCGGAAGACGATTTGAGATCTAGAATTTTTGGAACATTTGTTGTAGAATTTCTTGCATGCCTTCCTCTCCTAGGGTTTTCGAACCCCCCCAAAATATAATTGCCCATTTTTAACGGATTTTTACCCTAAAAAGGTCACATAGAATTTTCGGGAGCCTTTTTTCGGGCTGAAATTTTCGAAAAGGAAAGTTTTGATCCCTAGAATTTTCGGATCACTAGACTTTCAGCTAGGAAATCTGAACAGATGAAAAATTTATAGGGGATAAAAATATACCTATATCTACCGTTATAATACTAAATACGTTTAACAATGCTATGTTTAAGTGGTTTTGAACTATATTCTCGTTGGGTGCCCCTGTAAAAAGCCAAAACGTTTTTGGCATCAATCAAATTCCAAATAGAATGTATTTTTGTCATTTATCTGTCTTTAGAGGCAGTGAAACTGTTTTCTGCTATCTATTGCAACGGATAGCAAGCATGGAAATGGATTGAAACTTAAATAAGTTGGGCTGATTTGTCAATTTCTTATTCAGCAAAAACTGAATTAATAGACAATTTTTGCTTCACGTATACGTCAAACGGCAAAAGCTGGCAAGCGCGAATTTTTATCACGTGAACAAGGTTCCTTTTTAATTGTCGTTTACTGAATAAATTAATAGTTTCAAGCAAATTTTTATCCATAACAATTGTTTTGAGCTTTTGTTATCTGGTCATTTAACTGTTTATCTGTTTATTAATTATGACAAATTTTACAGAAAGCAATATCCACTGCCCGCAGTTAGCAGATTAGCTAGTCGAGGCGAGCAGTGGTTACCCATATGTAATATATATACAAATAGATCACATGAAAGACTAGAGAAAAAGAGTAAAAAATGTTAAACAAATAAACAAATAAATAGAAATAAATTCAATTCAATTAAGTTTACAATCATGTACATTGCAAATACAAGAAGCCGAGTTTTCAGGAAATTTTTGTTGTTAAGTCGGGTAAATCAATATAATCATTTTCTCCTGAAAGTATTCTGAGTAAGGTGTCGTGGACATTGATTTTAAAGTTATTTTTGGACATTTGACGCATTTCACACGGTAAATTATTCCAGATTTTTACACCACGTCTTGAAAAGACTTAGTTTGTTTGTCTAACCTTGAGTGTTTAACATAATAGTCACCTCTTGAAGATGATCTTGTATCATATGAATGAATATTAGATTGAGAAGCAAATAAGTTAGATACCGTAAAATTCCGAAAATAAGCCCCTCCAAATATAAGCCCCCCAAACCGGTAACGCAAAAAACCCTCCGTTAAATCGCCCCTCCAAATATAAGCCCCCGGGGGGCTTGTACTTGGAAAATTGCCCTCAAATACAAAGTAAAACAAAGCAAAAACAGTAAATTTACTTCCCACTATAAGGCTAGCCCAATCAATTTTGAAACGCAAATTTCCCTCCGTAGATAAGCCCCTCCGAATATAAGCCCCTCCAAAAATAAGCCCCTCAAAAAGGGTCTTTGAAAAATATAAGCCCCGGGGCTTATTTTCGGAATTTTACGGTATCTATCTTGCGAAATTTTCAACTTGAATGATACGTTTGCCTAGCCTGAGAAAATAACCGACATTTGGCGAAGCTACCACTGGTTTCCCTACCAAATGACGTCTGAGAAACGAGCGCAGAAATAATTCCATTCCGATGACGCGTCACCATGCACCCAGATATGATGGGTAGTGCTTCTGATTGGTCGTGCCGCGTGGGAAATTTGATTAAACCAATCAGAGGCACTAGTAGTGACGCGTCATCAGTATGGAATTTCTGTGCTTGTTTCTCAGACGTCATTTGGCGGGGAAACTAGTGGCTGTCGGCTGTTTACTCAGGCTAACGTTTGCCGTTTGCCGTATACGTGAAGCTCTCTAATATGGTCAGTGCTCCTTTATGAAATTTGTTTATAATAATATCTTCTTCATATTTCCACAGGAGCATTTTGTGCATGGATGGATGCAATAAGTGTTGATTTCAGCACCGAATTGACCTAAAACACCAATATCCTAGAAGCACCATCAAAGAACTTAAACCTTGAAACAAAGTAATAAGGGGATATTACCATGAAGACAAAAGAATAATTGAAATACGGTGATGCCGGGAATATGTGACGTCATTCAAAATGGCTGCCATCTTAAGGTGTACAAATAAACTGAGTTTTGTACCAGATAATTAGCGTTGCATATACTTGCAGGTGCAGTTTTGAAATTTTTGAAACAGTTGAGCCCTTTGCCGTAGTGCCAGACCTGCATTCAGTTTTGTTTTACTTTTTTATTGCTTTTGGCACTGTTTTACACGATTTTAAGGCAACACGTTAGAGAGCAGTCAAAAAACACCCGCATTTTTAATTTGCCAAAGAAAATGACCCGAGCTCATATAATTCTGACATATGTCTCGTAACCATATTAACCAACTGTCCCCCGAAGT